TCCTTAGGGAAACGACAGAGCCGGGAGCAGTCGAGCTGAAAGTGGGAACGATTAATAACCCGATAGGTACGCACCCAGCCTCGGGTTCGGATCTCTCGTGTTCGCCATTAGTCGCGGCCACGGCCTGTTATCGCAACGCGGTCTCTCCGCGGCTACGGTCACGATTTCGGAGACACTGCGCTGCGCAACAGACCGTGTAATTTACTACGAATCATCACCTATTTACCGATGAGACTGGATCATCGCCAGTACTTCTCATTCATTATTATTCCATGTATCCAAACAATTGATTTGCAAGACTAATTTTAATTAGATTGTGAATTTTTATACAAAATAAAGCATTTGTAATATTGACTTGAAAAGAGAAGTATAAAAAATAATTATTTTATCCTTTAAACATAATAATATGAATTTTATTCTTTTCAAGAAAAAATTGAATTAATAAATGCGCGAGAACAAATACATATTTTGCAAAAGTAACTAAAAACTGAGATCAATACAATGATTAAAGCGCAATTAATTATATAAGCATGTTAACCTCGGTTGAAATCAGTATCGACTATAAAAAGCTACGATGGTTGTCATAAACATCAAAGTACCGACGACGATAAGAGGCACGGGGCGACTCGTTCGAAATCGTGTCGTATACGAAAATTTCTGTCGCATGGAATGCGGACTCGTTGTCCGGCGTCGTAAAATTAAGCGTCGCGTTTCTACGAGCAATCGAGCCTCGGGCTATCAGCTGCTTTCAACGAGTCGTTCCGCGGCAGAGAATGCGAGTTGATTGCTTGGAACGTCGCCAGTACTGGTACCGAGCACCAGTATTTATCGACATTGTTTTTCAATTAAGTCTTACCGCGAATGTCATTCGCATTAAATTAGTAATTGCATTACACGTGGTATACCATTCAATAGTAAACCGATGTGGAATAATAATATAAATTAACATAGTGACACTGACACCTTGCATAGAGTTAAGTTGAAAATATGTAATAAAGTTATATCTACTCATGTACTTCGACAAAATCTGCTTCGTTTATTTTATCATAATGTGACATTCAGGTGTTTGGTTTTTCAAACGATCAAACACACTATATTTTCATGCTTCATTATCACCTAATTCATTAAAATATTATAACTGATATTATTTGAACTTACACATTCACTGTAGCAATTGCGATCAGATGAACGAAGCAGATATTGTCCAATGTACACTTCCTTAACGAATTCACGTTTCTCAGAAATTAAGTCCTGTGTGAAAGAACTTTATTATATAATATATTTTCGACTCAGTTTCATGTGACCGATTACCCGCTTCTCGGTTGTACCACGATTTCGGAGACAACCTGCATAGATCGTTCATTATCAAAGTAAAAACTGAAACTGATAACGCATGAAACCTGTGGGGGGACAAATTACAGAATGCAACGCAAAGGAATGAAGTACGACTTGAGTAATAATTTATTCGTTTCACGAAGTTCAGGTTTTGATATCTCGAACGTGGGATAGCAAAGGACAGTAAAGTTGCGCGTTATGCGGCTCCGCGTCTGGGAAAGGATCATTTTCGTTACGTAACCCCAGTCGGTAGTGAGTAGGCCCGTGGCAGCTTTCGCACTTCGTCTACGTCCACGCGGACGTGTCGGCTCAGCGGTAGATTACGTATGCCTGCTTTTCTTCTGACAGCTCTATAGCAATTTGTACCGGGCCTGACGTGTCACAACGTGAAACGTTGTCAGGAAAATGCTACATGACTCATCTATAAACATTTTTTCTACGTTGCAATTCGAATTTAATGTCCTTAACTCCATTCATGAAAGTATTATTCNGCAGAATCATCTGTTACATATTTACTAAATGTTGTTTGTAATTTTTTTACAATTTAATGTGTGACCGGGCCAAATAATTATGAATAGATTATTTTAGAAAATTATATAAACGATATATAAAGCAGTACTAATAAGGAAATATTGAAAGTTAAAATTGCACGAAGAAATTGCTACATCATAAATATTCCTGATTATATAAAAAGTAGAGATACTTCATTACATATTTTTAACACATGCATTCAATGTATTAGAAGCAAATGTGAAATAAGCTCAAAAATAGACAAAAATTTCGAAACAACGAATGTCCTAATGGCTAAGTTACGAAACGTGCAAGAGACATTTTGAAAGGCAGACGCGAACCGAATACGTCGTTTTGATCGATGCGTCGCACAGCCGTCTTTGTAGTCGTCGCCGCGGTTTCTCGCGTGACCGCTCGATTATCGGGCCGGGCCGCTATTAATAAGTTACTAATGGAATCCCGACTTACGTGGGCGAGCCGATAAATTACCCCGGCGAAAGCCCACGGACAGATCGCCGCGCCGCGACAGCCATGAGAGCGTTAGCTGCAATTAACGCGCGTGTCCCGTGACAATTTCTAGCTTAGCAAACTGTCGAGTGAATCAATCATCGATACCC